TCAAGTAGATCGAAAGAAAAATAAACATGAAGTTTTTCTCTCTTTCAATTTATTAGTTAGTTTAACTCATTCTAAGAATGTTATGTAATCAGTTAGGTGGTTGTAGTTTTTTTAAGATACAATTCTCAGGTTTTCTTTAAATTTATGGATATTTCAATTATTTTATTTTAAAGAAATTTATTTTATCATTCTACATTTAATACAACGAAAATTAAGTTTGTGGTAACACTCCAAGCTTTATGAAAATTTTGGGTGTTACAGTTTGGTGTCATAATCAAGTTCTATTTTTTTAGACTTTTTTATTAGTTTCAAATAAATGAGTTTTAATAGGAATTTGTGAGTTATAAATATTATAGATTAAGAGATCTATAGTTCCTACTGATTGTTTGAGTGTTCTTGATTTGTGTATTTGCAAAATTCAAAGGTTTTGTTAAAAAGATTTAAACTATCTAAGAATAAATTGGAATTTAAGCAGTCCACTTGTGATCTTCCTTCTCATCTGGAAGCTTTTTGATTGCTCATATATATATATTTCAAACCATTCCAAATTTAAGAATATTCTATTCTAGAAACTTAATTTTTGAGAAATCATATTTTAGGAAATTTCAAATGAAAATAGAAATAAAATACTTTCATAAGCATTAAGAGTTCATGGACAATGTAAAAAATTTGAAGTCTTAAACATGTAATCATTGGCATACGACGCTCACTATTCAACTACTTTACAATTGATTCAAGGTACGAAATGAAATGTATTTTTTTAGCAAAATTATGAGTCATCTTGTTTCATGTTATGAAATGTACAAACATGTTTACCTCGCATAATTTAGTGGTTGAAAATTTTTCACATTCTATTGGAATATTGTTTATGCAACATGGGATGAGATAGATTATCACTAAAAGATTAAGCATAATTAGTTTTAAATGTGTCAGACATAATTAGAGCTTTGCAAATGCATAGAGAGGACGAAATTCATTTTAAGGAGGGGAATTTGTAAAGTCCCAAAATTTTATAGTGTAGAATTATTTAGTGATAAGAATTTTGACCTAAGCATGTTTTGATAATATTGAAATATTGAGGAACTAAAGTGAAAAAATATTAATTCTTTTTATTTGGCCAAGTAATTAGATTTTGAAATAGCGAATATAAGGATATCGATAATGGACTTTTTTGTAGCTTGTAATTAATTATGAGTATTGACCTAAGAAAAAGTTGTTTTGGATCAGATCACATCAAGTTAAATTCGATTAAAATAATATAATGTTAAATGAAGTTGGAAGGAATTTGGAATATTATTTTAAACAAAACATTTCCTCTTTTTAGCCCATGCCACGTGAATTGTTGACATGAAAGCATTATTTGAATACAATTCAAATTTTATTATTTGAAACCAATTTTTATCCAAATTCCATATATTACACAAATTTTTTAATTCTAGTTGCATACAAACTCAATTGAGAATTTCAACTATAAATACTACAAAAAATTTCATTATTTCACCATAGAAAATAAAGATAGCCATGGTAGAGAGAGATGACAATAAAAAGTATAGAAAAATAGTAGGACATTTTTTACGTGCAAGATTTTATTCCTTTCAACCTTTCAAAATCAAGGTAAGATATTTTTGTGCAAGTAGTTTGTCTCTATGTACTTTTATATTCAATTAAATGTGCATGAACTGTTTGTTCAGATTCCTTAGCAAGAGATGAAATTCGACGAGAATTTAAGATAACCTAAGATTGGAGTATCATTTGGTCATCGATATACTCTATAAGTGAATAGTGGTATGAAGTATAGATTTTATAGTTATATAACTGTTTATGAAAACTACGCGTATCTTTCTGGTTATTTTTAAATACTCATTCTTAGAATAATTTTACAAGTTAGTTCGAATGGATTGGATTTCTAGCATGATGGTGTCCAGGTTGCCTAGTGGATTGAAGGAAGAATAAACATTATATTTTCTGTCTTTCAATTTAGTAGTTGGTTTAATTCATTCTAAGACATGTTATTTAATTCATTAGGTGATTGTGTTTTTTAAAATACAATTCTCAAGTTTTGTTTAAATTTATAGATATTTGAATTATTTTATTTTAAAGATGTTTATTTTTATCGTTCTGCATTTAATACAAAAAAAAATGAATTTTTGGTAACTCCATAGCTTATGAAAATTTTGGGCGTTACGAATAAAAAACAATGAATCGTGGTTGAAGCTGTATGATGTAATAAAAAAAGTAAATGAATTAATACAATACATTAGGAGAAATATACATATTTGAGGGATTCCCCAAGGGTAACGGGAGTATTATTTATATTGTCCTCTAGGAAGCTCTTTGTTAGCGTAAAATGCAATATTCTCGGATGATAAGTATATTAATGAAAGTTAATCTGAGGAAAAAATTGTGTTGGAAGAGATGATTGGGATCAATTCCATTCATATATTTGTATGCAACATGGTAACGAACGGTCCATAGTATTAGAAATACCTAGACAATGTGATCTTTCTGGAAAAGATAAGTTATCATTTGATCACATAAATCAAGAGAACTTTGAAGGTAATATGGAGGTAATGGCATAACTTGATGATGATATAGGCATTGATACAAATGTTAAATTTCTCATGGCATAGAACAAGAGAACCTTGAAGATAATATGGAGGTAAAGTAATATAGAGGTACTGGTAACTTTGGTGGCACCAGTGGAGAGAATGGAGGATCCTCGGTAGGAGACTGAGCTCTAGCTGATGAGCTTTAGGAGGTTTTAAACATGTATTAACCTTGACTTTTCGTAGCATTTTTCACAAACAGCTCTAATGATGCTACCAAAAAGTTACACATGCCGATTCCAAGCTTGACGGTTGCGAATGAATACAAACAGGATCTCCAAAACCTAAACCAAAGGCGTTGAGATAGGTCATCATCGTCCCTCCGTACTTGAATGATGAATGGGACTTGTCTTTATAGAGTTAGAAAGTGCAATCCTTGTAAAATTTGATCGCTAGGATGCCTTATCTGTTTAAGAGTCCTGTAAAAGCTAGACATTAGAGTTTTGTTGAAAATATAGAACTATTGCAGTTGGATAATCCTAGGACTGTGGTAGTTGAGTCCTTCTAGGTTAGGGAATGTCATAGAAAGAAAGAGGAAAAGAACGGTAAGGGACATGATATGCCCGAAGGCCTCAAGCTCGAGGATCATCTGGTCCAAGGAAAGTGCTCGATGTTATTATAACCTCAAACCAGATGTGGGTGGTAAGGTCATACGTAAATTTTACACATCACATAGAATCATAACCATAGATTATAACCTAATCGAAATGCGCGCACACACACACACACAAACATGTTTTGTTGTGCTTATTGTTCGTAGAAAACCCACAAGCGTATGAGATCGTTGTACAAGTAATAAGATTTGTGAGTTAAGAGCATCTTTCCCATAAGGAATAAGATCTAATATCCAGTTCAGTAACTTTTATCAATTTTGAGGTAATATAGAATCAAAAGAGTTATTTTTTATGTATTCTATACTAATCCTAATCTAATAAAACAGATAAAATATTTAACAAATCTGTGAATGTTTGTATTAGAATCGTGAATCTCCCTATTGTTATTTAATTCAACTCTTAATTCATAATTTGGTAAATTCATGCATTCAAAGCAATTGATAATCCACTTTTATTCAATATTCTTTTTCAACATATACTAAACTTATGTTTAACACAACCCGATCCTATTTCTAATCCGAATTCATATGAAAAACATGCATTAATTCACAAAATTTATCACACATGGTTACACATGCCATAGACATTATACCTATCGTTCATGTGTTAATTTTACCGTGTTCTAAACATATTATAGGTATTCCTACACTATAACAAGTAACTTACTATCTAATTGGTGATCAAGCAATCAAATAGTTCAATGAAAATGCAAAACCAATCACGAAAAATCACGAAATACTAAATTAATTGTCTTGAATTAAAATAAACAAAACCATTCTTCCAATACAATGAAAAACTTAACTAACCATCCTAATTATTAAATTATACAAGAAATCATGAAAAAACATCACCCAAATCGAAGAAATGTGGAAGAAGGTGGAGAAATCCATTTTTTTGAATGAAAAATTGATAGATATTCTTCAAGAATCTTGCACAATGCCCTTGATGTTGATGATCTAATTTTGTTCTTTGCCTCCAAAATATATTGAATGCAGAGATTTTTAGGTTTAAGAGAGGTCTCTCACGTTTTTGGACGACTCTTGGTATAAATAGGGTGTTAAAAGATTGTAAACAAAAAGTTTTTAAAACAAAGTAAGGAAACAATTTTTTTCCTAGAATTGAACCCTGCGTACGCATGGTTCATTTGGTGTGTGTGTGTGTGTAGTATAGGTGACTCTGGAGTAGATTTTTGCATAGTACAATTTTTTGTCGAATTTTCTTGTGTGTGTACTTTGATCTTTTTCAACATATTCTCATCCCATGGACTTCTCTTCAGCTCCATTTGACTCTTGATATTCTTTAATCATCGTTCTGCAATCCGACTCAACTTTTGAAGTATTACATTTTAGTCCTCGAGTTTTGGATTTCGCCATTTTTCACTATTTTTGCGTTCTTTTCACCAATTCTTAATCAAATATACAGTTTTCCCTATTTGACATAATATAACATGAATTAGGCAATATTATCAAAAGAACTACAAAGTATCATTATTTAAAATTCTGAATAAGTGTATAAAATATGTTTATCACTTATAATTATTGGAATTCACTATTTTAATTCAAAATAAACAAATTATGAATGTTACATAATGGTTACATTTACTTTTTGAAAATACTTTTTAAACACTAAGCTAAGGACCAAACCTAGAAATCCTCGATTCTACTTTTCTATGGACAGATAGAATAGAATCATAAAATGCAATGCCATCCACACGGACGGGGCCAAACATAATTTCACACGTAGGCCTAAATTTTTGTTCGCTAATATGACTCTCCCCACCCCAATGCAATTTTCTACGCATGTTTCTACAAATTCTGTATCTTCCATACACTACTGTCTCTCTCCCTCTCTCTTCCATTTTTTGGGTTGGTGATTCGTACAGGAAACCATCACATGTATTTTTAACAAGCAAACTACTCACAATTATCATCACCCATTTTATCTTTTTGGTTTTCGGTTTGTTCATTGATTGAACTTCACGTTTTCTGTCGCGGATCCTTTATTTGGCATTGCCATTTGGCAGATTTGTTCCGGGCCGCTTTATATAATAGAAAAAATACATCTTTTTTTAACATTGCCTCGCAAGGGTTAGATTTAATGGCTCGTCGATTTATTGGAATTTGCTGGTGGATCTTTTGATTTCTCTACACTGGCAGGTATCAAGAGTCTAATTTTTGTGTGATTTGTAGGTTTTGATGTCCATGAGTTTGATTTGTGATCCCAATATCATATAAGTATTTTTTTTCTGTATTTATGATTTGATTTTTGCAATGAATGGTTATTGCGGTGATCAGTAGATCTCTGGGCGAAATGCCTAGATTTACAATGATTGCCAGCATGGAAGGTACTGTCCCTGGAGCATAATGTACATCACAATGTGTGCGATCATCTTAATATACCATTCAGAATAAGGGGTTTGTAATTAGTGATTGAATATGTTCTTTTGAGAACTATATTAGTTTCAAATATTTGCAGTCTTTTCGGTATTGCTTTTAGATTGTTTCTGCAGTTCCTGGAAAATACTCAGCAACATGTAATAGCTTTTAACTCAGTTGCAAAAAACTCGGACTACTGGCACTTTAACAAGCTTCGGCTAGTGTGGATGTCAGTTGGATTTGAAAATTTGTACCTTCCATGTGTTGTTCCTTTCCACATCTGTGATTTTAACTTATGACATTTACCTGAGGAATCAATAAATATTTTATAAATGTTATCCAACACAAATTTGATCGTCTTTTTCAAGTATTTAGCATTGCTAAATACTTCTTTTAATTATATTAATATGCATAATACGATATTTCTTACCTGCCTCTGTATCTAAGGAAACACGTTACAAAAATTTCTGGCTTCCTCAATTTGCTTAGTACATTTATGCTATTCTGAATTTGCAAGACTCTGCAATCCATTCTAGGATTTGAGTCTGGACAAGAATTAGTGTTGCTGAATATCTTCTGTCCTTTCCATGCTTACATGAAAATGACCGTCTACTATTATCAGCTAATGGTCTATAAAATTTTAGCTTGAGACAACGTCTCTGGCTGTTTCCATCTTGATTTTTCTGCTCAAATTTAGGTAAATGGTGGCAAAATGTAATTGTAGAGGTTTTGACTTTCTTCACGTGAATGGGTTTTCTTTTTTATCAGTACAATAATTCAAGCATCAAAGAATATGACCTTTGTGTCTGCCAGCTGAGCCTGTGACATGTGGTCTCATCATGAGCCTTGCAGAACACTTCTATATCTTTATTACAGTGTACCCACTGCTTTGAATTAAGCAACATCCTTTCTTTATAATAAGTGTTGTGAAATTATAAATCCATACCCACCCATCTATGATATTATGGTAATCAAGATTTTAATCCATCATATATGTGTGCATCTCAAGAACAATATACTGTATTCGTTGCTTCTCACTCTTTCATATTGGCATTCATGGTGATGCCTCTGGTAGTCATAAATCCCATTTGCTTTGTCATCTCCATTTCCTTGTTATGCTAAACAATGTATGTAAAAGTTTGTTGAATTGTTTCCAGGAAGCTCACACATTATCCTTTTCTAGGGAAAAATGAAATTCGTGGTCCGTTAACTTGGTATAATGGCAGTTTCTAAGAGGACTGTTTTCACATTGAAGTCATACCGAACCCAGGCTGAGGTTCTTGTTAAAAACTACATATTATCAGATCCTTTTATTCCATACACTTCTGTGGTTGTTGGCGCATTGACCTGCAAATTGGTATGTTTAGACATTTGAATTCCTTTTTTTAATAATAACCCCTACAGGTGAACTATCTGGACAAGTTTTTTGTTTTTAATTTTTTTATTATGACAATTTGAACCATAGTGATGGATATTCTTATCCTTACTCTTATGCAACAAAGTTCGAAAATGTATTTGTGAGGTTGGGACTACTGTATTTTCATATAATATTAGATGTGTACTAGACGTAACTGCAGCACCCTAACAACAATTGCATTTCATATGGCTGATTACACATGAACTAGTGAATAAAAATAGATAGATCATTAATGAAAACTGCACATGTTATTATTTGATTGGGACATTAGCACTCTCTAGTTACAAGATTGCTTCTCCAACATTCTGAGACTTTGTTGATCTTTTATAATGGTTCTCCCTCTAACAGGTCTATGATTTGACTCAGCTCATCAGCGCCATTTACTTCAGGGGTTATAATGGCCTTACAAAGATTCAAAGGACTGAATGGAACAACCGGTGAATAATGTTCATATTTTTATTATCAATTTTTCTGATACTTCTCTGACTTTATTCTTACTTTATTGCAGTGGTGTCTCCACCCTTCATGCCATTTTTATTTCAATTACATCCTTGTACTTTGTCTTTTGGTCCGATCTGTTCTCTGAGCACCATTCTGCTGAGCTTATTACATTCCGAAATTCACCTCTCTCAACATTTGCACTTGGGGTAAAGATTCTGGTGCATTTTTAATATTTTTAGATGCATATTTATGTTTTATTCTATTTTTTTATAAGTCATTGAAGAAGATAATTTTTGGTTCTTTCAAGCATGCCATTTGTACTCAAAGATTAAACCATGATGTTTTATCTTTTGTCATTTTCAGGGTCTTTTGTTGTCTTTTTCTTTTCTTATCTGTATTTAAACTTTGGAGGGTGGGGAGGATGTCCAATGGGTAGGGAGGGCTTTATCTCAAGGTCATTAGATTATCAACTAATGGATATAATCAATTATACAACACAGCGTTCATAATTCACTTAATCATTTTACTCCTGAACCAATTTGTGTCTTTCTTTTTTTTGTTCCTGGACACAGCATGTTCATTTTCATTCTCTTCCAGGAGTTGCTCGGGGAAAGGTAACTCATTTTGTTAACCAATAATAAGGCTGTTCCTGATTTCCTCTTTGGAGCTCAGCTCTTGCATTAAGAAGCTAAAACACAAAAGATTGTTCGCTGATGATGTATTATCTGTGTGATAAATTCATGCTAAATATGTTGCTTATGGAAGGATGCAGGCATGAGATCAAAAATGATTGCTCCTCAATGTTCAATATAAAAGATTTAATCAAGTATCTACGAGATTCTCCATGTTCCCATCCCATATTTTGTTGAAGATTTATAATCTGTTGTTTCAATCCTTCTCTTGTTATTGTGTCTTGATCTATGATTAAATATTTTAAAAATATGATTGTTATCTAGGCTTCAATTGAGGCTGGTGCACCCTTTTTCCCCTGTAAGATTCACTTCATCTCTTGGGTGTTGTGACTTCTCGCAGGTATCTGTTGGGTACTTCATTTCAGATCTTGGGATGATTTGTTGGTTGTACCCTTACTTGGGTGGAGTGGAATATGTAAGTAGATATTCAATTTAGCTTATTTCTGCATTTCCCATATTACGCCACGTCTGATATGGGGATTTTGCAGCCCCTGAAATATTTTTTTAGGAATATGGAACTATGCTTATTTTTTTTCAGATTTGCTGGGTACACTGCTGAATGTGGCTATGTTGGAGATATGATGCTTTAGACATTAACATCTAGATAGAATTTGATGCAGATTCAGTCATTCTCTTAACTGGATCTGCTTTGTCGAGTGGGATGAGTCTCTACTCCCACCTTAGTAGTCACACTTAATTTTTTCTTTATCATGATCTATAGCCTCAAATGTTGATTTTTGCATTACATTTCTACGAGTGTGTGGAGTTCGGGGTTCCAATATCAAAGTACATTTGTCAACTTCCTTTCTTTTTTGGTGTCTGAGAATAAATGGAAAAGATTCACATTTTGTCTTTGAACAAATGCCAATGATAGAAAATGCTCAATATCCATAACGAGTTGATGAGAATAATGGTTTCTTTACTGTTTAATTTCAGATTGTCCATCACTCTCTTTCAGCAATTGCAGTATCATACTCCATGCTCACTGGGGAGGGGCAGCTTTACACCTTCATGGTCCTAATATCTGAGGTGACAACCCCAGAGATCAACATGAGATGGTGGGTTCTCTGATTTTGTGGAAAAAGGAAAACAATTAATGAAGTTTGTTTCATAATGTGAGGCTGGACTGATAAATGTATATGGTTATTTCATAGGTATCTCGATATTGCTGGGCTGAAGAGATCCAATGCATATTTGATCAATGGCATTGTCATATTTTTTGCTTGGTTGGTGCGTAACTTAACACCTTAATTTCCATTTATTGCAATATAAAACTATACTATGACCATCAAAGTAATATTTCACAGAGGAGACAAATGTAAACATGAAACTCAGTATCATGCCTATAATGACTGTCAATGATGCTATGAGTTGGACATGGAAGAAGCTTCTTTCAGATTTTCAATTTTGTAGCATTCCTTTTTGATGGAACCTTGGGCATGTTTGCCTAAGAAAAAGTAGAAGTACCTTCTACAGAAGAAATAAATGCTTAGTTTATACAAAGTAAGATCTTGACAACAAAAAAATGTAACTTTGGAACATGTTTAGGAAAAAAGTAAGAAGTTACTTTTAAGCTTCCCAAACATGCTCTTTATTCTGATAACTGGAAATTACATTCTTTTGGTCTTTTGTGAGTTATTTTTGCTCTTACTAACGTCATATTATGAATTGCAGGTGGCAAGAATTCTCTTGTTTGTTTACATGTTTTACCATGTCTATCTACACCATGATCAGGTAACTGCCTACTCAAGTCCTCATGGTCCCTTGAATCCGAATTGTTTGTGTCCCTTCATGCCATTGGGATAATAAGATCCCCATTCCCCATAGTCTCTTCTCAGTACTTCCAATCAGTGTTATTAGGCTCAGACCGGACCGGCAAGTTCGTTCTGGAAACCAACGAACAGGATCCAAGTCCGGTCCGGTCTGGTCGACTTATTTCTTCAACTTTGCAATGAACCCATTATTAACTCGCCAGAACCATCCGGTTATTATAAACTGGCCCAAATTTAAGTTAATCGGACCGGCAATTTAATTTACATTATATACTTAGAATTTTGCATCGTCTTCTGCTGAAATATTGATTATGTGGAAATTGAAAAATCCTTGGCAGCCTTCTCCT